TGGTTGTTTAACGAGAGCTACAATAAATCTACAGCAAACGACTAGGACACCTGGCAATGAGGAGGCGGTCGTACGTCTGACAGAAGATAATCCAAGTACGAGTACTCGAGCGATAGCCCAACAATTGGGTTTATCTCAATCCATTGTCTAGAGCAAGGATGTCAAACTCGCGGCCCACAACAAATATTTTTGCGGCCCGGCCAATATATCGGCAAATAATAATATATAATAATAAAATAACATATCGATGAAGAAAAAAATGAAATGTTTACTGCTAAGTAATTAACGATAATTTATTCAGTGTTGTTAGATTACTCACAGCGAGCTGACACACACACTACTTAAATTACAAATGCGTGTGAGTAGCTTGCGTTCAGCTACCTTCGGCTTTTGGGGGACACGTGCACTCAGAACTTGTACGCATCCCCCGATAGCCGAATGTGGCCGAACTCATGGTCTCAGTTTTCCAATCATAGTTTTGTACGATATATTGGTGCATGCATGTGCATGCACTTTGCTTTATTATTAATTATTACTTAATTCATATTGTTACGGATTTCATAGTTATTTATTTATTTAGTTTTTTTTATTTAGAATTGTAATTAGATTTGCTTCATGTTGCCTTAGCAACGCAGACGATTTTTGAAAAGACAGCTGCGTTGGAAGGTTAAAAATAGAACAGCGCGTGCATTTAATACCTAATAAATAAATATCTCGTAATTGCTGTTGCCATCCACAAAAATCCAGATATTTATAGATGTTTCCAGTATATTCGAGAAATTAATTATAAAGCTTATAAAAGCCGAGAACAAACAACTCATCTCAGTAGTAGCTGTAGTTCTAGCGAACTGTTTGTTTACTTAATGCTGTGATTGATTTGTAGCGATTTCGCTGTGAGATAGAATTAGTTTCTCTGTTTTGAATTGATTTTTGCTAAACGTTTGACATTTTGTGATATTGTTAGAATATTTTTGAAGAAATATTTCAGCATTTTGATTTATCTCTTGTGGAAAGAATAAATTTTTGTTAACTTTTTAACGTTAACCGTGTTTATTCCAGCCCTTTGTATTCAGTATGTCTATATCAAAACCAAGTGGTAGTAAAATTAAACGAAAAATCGCTGACGAACATAGAATATTCCAAGTAAAATGGGAATTAGAATATTTTTGCTGTGAAATAAAAGATAAAATAATCTGCTTGATATGTAATAATACTATTAATGTACCAAAGTTATATAATATTAAACGTCATTACGAACAACACAAATCGAAATATAACAATTACGAAGGATTAATGAGAGAAGAAAAGTTGAAAGAGCTCAAGTTAGGAGTGAAAAAGCAACAGTCCATGTTTAGTAAAGTATTGCAAGAAAGTGAAGCGGCGGTACATGCAAGCTACGTCTTGTCCGAGTTGATAGCTAAACATTCGAAGCCTTTTACTGACGGTGATTTCATCAAGGAATGCCTAATGAAAGCTGGAGAAATTGTTTGTCCTGGAAATGTGAAGGCTTTTCAATCAATTTCATTGTCTCGAAATACAGTTGCGGAAAGAGTTACTGATTTAGCCGCGAATTTAAGTGATCAGATCAAAGCAAAATCATCTAGTTTCGAAAGTTTCTCCATTGCCTGTGACGAGAGCACGGACATTAGTGGCAAAGCTCAATTAGCAGTGTTTCTTCGTTCTTGTGACAAGAATTTTAACATTTTTGAGGAATTACTGGAACTAATACCGATGCCTGGTACTACCACAGGAGAAGATATATTTACTTGTGTTTTTGGACTTCTGCAGAAATACAATCTACCTTTGGCAAAATTAAATTCTGTAGCTACAGATGGCGCTCCATCAATGACCGGGAAAAACAAGGGCTTCGTAGCATTACTAAGAAAAAAACTTAGTGAAATTCACGGTTCAAACATTCATCATATGCATTGTATTATACATCAAGAAGTTCTATGCACGAAAGTAATAAATATGGAGAATGTTTTGTCATATATAAAAAAGTTATAAATTTTATAAGATCTCGAGGTTTAAATCAGCGTCAATTCACTGCTTTCTTAAGTGAGTTAGATAGTGAATATTCGGGTTTGTCCTACTATACCGAGGTACGTTGGTTATCTTGCTCCAAGATTCTCAAACAATTCTGGGATTTGAAAGAAGAAATATGTCAGTTTTTAAAAACGAAAAATCAAGACGTAAGTTTGTTTTACGATCCAATATGGATACAAGATTTATCTTTCTTGGTTGATATAACCAAACACTTAACCGATTTAAATTTATCGTTACAAGGAAAAGATCATATCATTACGAACATGTTTGACATAATTAAAGCATTCAAATGTCAACTAGTTCTTTGGGAAAAACAACTTAAAAATGAAGATTTGACGCACTTCCCGACGTGCAGCATGAAAAATCAGATACTTCGTATTTTCGTATCATGATACTTGTTCCAAAATACGCAGAAAAAATTGCAGAAAAAATTGCAAATTTAACAACTGAATTTGAAACGAGGTTTAATGATTTTAGTTCCCTCGAAGACAAATTTTTTTTTTTTGTTTTCTTCGATTTTCTCAATAAGTATTGACTCAGTACCCAGCCATATGCAAATGGAGGTGATCGAGATTCAATGCAACTCAAATTTGAAAGCAAAATTCATTGAAGTGGGCGTGCCTGAATTTTACAAATATTTACCAGCCAGGTTTGAAAATACTCGAAAATTCGCATATGAAATTATTTCCATGTTTGGTAGCACTTATCGGTGCGAGCAGTTATTTTCAGTCATGAAAGGTAATAAGTCTCCTATTAGAAACCGTATTAATGATGCTCACCTTGGGTCAGCGTTGAAAGTTATCACTGCAAACAAAATTTCTCCCGAAATAGGAAAGATAATAGCAGAGAAGAGATGTCAAGTATCAGGACGTAAACATTAAATTTTTCTTGTTCTTTTCTATATAAATATATATATATATGTTTATTATTGTATTATTCGAAATAAATCTACGTTTCTATAAATATTGATTTTTTTTTTTTTTTTGTTTTCTTGCTCCAAGATTCTCAAACAATTCTGGGATTTGAAAGAAGAAATATGTCAGTTTTTAAAAACGAAAAATCAAGACGTAAGTTTGTTTTACGATCCAATATGGATACAAGATTTATCTTTCTTGGTTGATATAACCAAACACTTAACCGATTTAAATTTATCGTTACAAGGAAAAGATCATATCATTACGAACATGTTTGACATAATTAAAGCATTCAAATGTCAACTAGTTCTTTGGGAAAAACAACTTAAAAATGAAGATTTGACGCACTTCCCGACGTGCAGCATGAACAAATCAAGTTTAGATGATACTTGTTCGTATCAAAAATACGCAGAAAAAAATTGCAAATTTAACAACTGAATTTGAAACGAGGTTTAATGATTTTAGTTCCCTCGAAGACAATTTTTTTTTTTGTTTTCTTCGATTTTCTCAATAAGTATTGACTCAGTACCCAGCCATATGCAAATGGAGGTGATCGAGATTCAATGCAACTCAAATTTGAAAGCAAAATTCATTGAAGTGGGCGTGCCTGAATTTTACAAATATTTACCAGCCAGGTTTGAAAATACTCGAAAATTCGCATATGAAATTATTTCCATGTTTGGTAGCACTTATCGGTGCGAGCAGTTATTTTCAGTCATGAAAGGTAATAAGTCTCCTATTAGAAACCGTATTAATGATGCTCACCTTGGGTCAGCGTTGAAAGTTATCACTGCAAACAAAATTTCTCCCGAAATAGGAAAGATAATAGCAGAGAAGAGATGTCAAGTATCAGGACGTAAACATTAAATTTTTCTTGTTCTTTTCTATATAAATATATATATATATATTATTATTGTATTATTCGAAATAAATCTACGTTTCTATGAATATTGATTTTTTTTTTGGCCCGCCTAAAGTTAAACCTTGTTTGTTTGGCCCAAGTGTACCTATGAGTTTGACAATGTTCATTTATCAGGTTCAATTATTAAAGCTTAAGGATTATCCACTTTAATAATTTTGCTACATAGTTCCTGCTACAGACAGTGCATTTGTTTCGTCCGTATTGTTCACGGATGAAGCATACTTCACACGTGAGGGAGCCATCAATCAGCATAAGGCAGACGTGTGGGCTTAGGAGAACGCTCATCGTACTTAACAACGTGTAGCTCAAGAGCGTTTCTCGGTCAGTGTTTGGGCAGGTATTCTTGGAGACTACCTCATTAGACCGCACCTTCTGTCCAGTCCTTTAAACGGTAGAGCATATCTGATCTTCTTGCTAGAAGTCCTACCCTAACTTCTTGGCGCAGCACATGTTTCTCCGTCGTTACGCCGCTCCATGTGCCACCAACATGATGGGGCTTCTCCAGATTACACGGCTGACGTCCACCGACACCTCGATGTAACCTTTGGACTGCGATTGATAGGTCGTGGTGGCCCGGTTTATTAACCTGCCAGATCACCGGATCTATCATGCATAGCCTTCTTCTTCTAGGGTCACATTTGGTATACGAGACACCCGTTCCTTCAGTTGAAGAACTCGTCGCTCGACTATCTGTAGCTGTTGGCAGGATATGTGACATGGCAAGGATCTTCCAGAACGTAAAGAATTCCATGCAGCGCCTGTGTCTGGCCTGCCAGATGACTTCCGGTCGTAATTTCGAACACCTGTTTTAGTACAACCTTTCAAAAACATGTTTTTTGTCCCATTTATGTGTTGCTTTTTCTGTTTTTTTCATCTGCTTCTTTGAACCATAGCTCTCAACTAGGGCATTCACGACCCTGCATTCCTATGTAATTTCGAGTCGTCTTTGTACCCCCTAAACACCCTGTGAGTTTGTCGGTCTGATAGAGAATCGCCCTGTATATAAAAGGGATATAAAAATTTTATTTCTTTTATTTTTTGAAGCACTTATTTGCTTAAATAAATATCGCAAAAGTGAATGTTATGATAGACGCAGACCTGTAGATACAGAAAAGTACTTCAAATATAAGAAAAGAATTTATTTTTGAAACAAAGCACATAATATTTTCACACACACATTATAAAAATAAACATATAAAATCTTTGAAATGTCGTCTTTGAATAATAGCTCTCTAAAAGCTCGTCATTAACAGGGGAGTATTTTCAATTAGAGCAGTGAAGATGATTGATTATTTGTAAAGATAAGATTACTTCAAGCATCTCTTAATTTATAAAGGCTTATTTCATTATTTCAATAATAATTTCATTTCGTATAATCTGACGCCCTAACAAGTTATACGCTCACTACAGAAGAGGTAATATTTTCAACTTCTGTTTCCTTTGTCTTTTTTTTTTTTTTTTTTTTTTGTCAATATTTCTTCAATAGGTTCACTAAAATTACATTATTACGTTTCGGCAGTTTTGTTTTACATTTGGACATTAAATATAAATATTTTTTATATGGAATACAATTTTTTCTCTGAAACAAAAGTTGCAGTTCATTACCAATATACGTTTCACACTATCTCAAAGGTAACAAAAATTGAGTTTGGACTAACGACAGTAATTCAAGTTACTATAAATAGTTCAGATTATTAACAAATTGGAATTTGGTACTTAGATGCTAACGCAACCACCTTAATAGAAGTCGCCAAATTTTCAGAATGTGCCAAACGCTGGGTACTATGCGCATAACCATTATTCAGGCAGCCATACGCATTCCTTATAAACCGTATAATTCCCTCCTAGAGTGGAATCCGCCCTGGAGGTTTTTAATTCTTCAAGTTTAGAATTAAAATATAAATTTTAATAATGAATAAATATTTCGTAAAATAACCTATAAAATATACTTTTCTGTAAAATTTAACCGTTTATTTTTTATAACTGGAGGTTGTAACAGAGAATTTACAGAATGCTTGTATTTAACATTCGATAAGACTGATATTTAATTGTAGAAACTCATAATAAAACCGAAACAACAGGTCAGAAACACAGGAATGAATTTCTCCCTGAATGAAGCACTAAAAAAGTAGTACTTTAAATAAATATGAGAATAACATTATGTAAGTTATTTTGAGTTCACGTTCCGGCAATACTAAAAGCAGTCTCTTCAGACTATGAAAATGTTATCAAAACGAATGTTAAAATGAGGATTGCAGAGCATTCCGAAAATTATCACATCTTTCTTTACGTATGAAAGTCTTTTCTCAAAGCCTCGCTTCAAAGAACACACATAAATGGAAGATTAAAGGTGATAAAGTTTTGAATTTCGAAAACATATCTCTGTTGCCCTTTTCACCTAAAGGATAACAAGGAATTCAGAGTTCTTTTCCGCTCACTTTCCTCTTGGCTGCTTCTTCTTGGATGACAGATCCATTGCTACGCTTGTGAACGGTACCATTTTCTTGGTACTTGCTGCCAGCAATAGAACTTTTTGTCTTTAGGGCAGATGAAGATTCTTCTTGGGACGTAATCCGAGACTGTTTACTCGAATTGTAAGCGTGGCGATAAAAGTTCATGAACATTGCCATAAACAGGAAAGCGTGGAACATGATAGCGTAAGCGAATCCCTTTTGGTATCCGCAGTCGTAGAACAGAGGAACCATAGCGTGTGCGAAAGCAATCACAAATTGGATCTAAAATGAAAAAAAAAAATTACGTTAACAAGTAACATTAAATTATATTTGCTAATATGGATGCCAACATTGTTTAAAAAACGCGCGGAAAGCTCTGATTCATTTCCTCAAACTGGAGAGTATTTGTGAAATTTAAAAAAAATCTAATTCAGCAACTGAAGAAATATTTTCGTCTTTTATTCTTTAATGTGATATCTTAACTGCTGGAGATAGCGCTTAACTTCAGGCGAAGCTTTCGAAGCCCGGCTAAGTGCTAACTTTTTTCTTAAAGTAGTTTAGTCCCACCCGGATGAATTTTGGCTTTTCTTTGCTATAGGATTAATTAGTAGCAATTGAGTAGGAAATTTCATTATTCAATGAATATTTCCATTGGCATTTAGTAAGGATAATACTGGTTCTATGTAGTTTACTGAATGTATTCCTCATTTTCTGAGCCGTTCCGAGACGTCTGTGAAGTGTCTGAGACCTTAAGAAACGTAAGCCAAACTTTCAAAACTGGAAGGAAGTTTTACACAATTGACGTAAACGGATGAAATGAAATAATGCCATATTTTGGGAGATTTATATTTGATCGGTCGGATATCTAAAAATTTACTACATGGCATAGTGTTGATACTAATTTCTAGAAACATAGTTGCAGTTAGAGTTTCCAGTTTTGAGTAATTGCAAAAGCCTCATTTAGGGAAGATTTTTGTTCCAAGTTCGATGCGAAGTTTCATTTAGCAAATATTAATAAGTTCATATTTAAAAATTTTGACAAGATGTTACATTTCTATAATAAAACACTTCAATGTTTGTATTTTATTTTGCAGATAAATTTTTATAAATTATTTAAGCTGTTCAAAATATTACTTTATTACACAAACAATATTTAAAACAACTGTATTATTGTCACTAATTTATTCATCCTCATGCAACCAAATGGAACCTCTGACCTTAATGTTTTCAAGAAAAGTCTAACGGTGTAATGCCACCCTGGTAGACGCTATCCATTATAACAGCCAAGCCTTGCCTTGGATAGGGCCAACGGTACAGACAGTATTTATTAAAATTCATGAAATTCAAAGAAAAAAAAAATTGCATTGGCAAACAAGACCCATTTAAAATACTTAGTTACATTTATACAGTTAATAGGCATACGGTAGTTGAGTACATATCCTAATATTTAATATCCTAATATCATATAAACAGTTAAGTTACACAGTTCTTTTATTATCATAATCGCATACAGACACATAATTGTTGATTTTACGCTGCCAGTGTAGATAATATTACTGCAGCTTATAAAGGCAGTTCTGGGTATATTTCACGATATGCGTATACGCCTATGTTACTTTATCAAATAATTAGAGCCCAGTTAATGCATATATATTAATAATGCATAACATAAGTATTATGCCGATTACAAATAAAACTGGATTGCACATATGAAATATAAAACAATTAAAAACCTCAATTAAATACAGCTTATGCAATGTTACCCCAAAACTGAATGTGTTGGCTACCATATAAATTGGATTATGCTGTAAGGTTCATTTTAATTTTAAAATCCGTTATTTTATGTTAACTCCCTTTTTTATCAAACCTCATTTCATTTCCCTGCCGAAGTACAAATTTCCGGCTCGAACGATATTCAAATTAGATATATAGGAGGAAGCACTTAGAGGAAGGTTTTGGAGGGGGAAATCATTCAAGTAAAAGCAAATTTTAAAATAGTTAATGAGAAAAAATTTAATATCCGCATGTGAAAAACCCTCTTTTAGTCATGTAGTTAGCTATAAAATATAGATTTACATAACTACTTCAAGTGTCGCAAAATAGTAGTGAGTAAAAAAAGTAACTGATATTCAGAAGATCGAATTAGATAATAGAACTTCCTTCAGGGGTGGAGCTTATCTATAAATAAATAAATAGATGTCTTGACTTCTATCTTGATGTATAGAAAATTCTTCTTTCATCTTCTGCGGTTTTCTAACCTTTAAGTTATAGCTTCATACAAGCGAAAATTTTGGGGTAGACGAGACACGAGGAGACGGGTATTTCCAGCTGTCGAGATCCTGTTTGATCTCAATTTGCAAAGCAATAACCACAGAGTTACATCATCATTATAGTGCATATCTGCAAGTGGATGCTTATTAATGTAGGTTATGACTTCAGTGAAATATTTTCTGAATAGATTCAAACTTCAGTAATTAGGATAACCAAAGTAAAGAGCGGATCAGACAAATGATTCTGCATCTGCAAGGGGGAAAAACCTATTTAGAGTTTCACTCAGACCTTTACGGTCAAGGCCGTAGGGACAAGGAACAGAATATAAAATTAAAATGCCTTCTTCCTGATGTTCCTACAAATTAAACTTCAGGTGGTTTTGGCGTTGCCCTTCAAGGCCATTAGGTGAAAGGGTATACAAGATTTAAACATTTCTACATTTGCTTTCCTCCCTTTTTGTGATGACTCCACTGAACCAAAGCCACACTTCCATCCCTCTTAAGTAATCAACAAAAACGTAGTACGCAGTCGGTAGAAAAAGAAAATTATCGTTAAAGCTTCGAATGATATAGATTCGAATCGTGCTTGTATGCTTCAAATTTTATATTTAATGAATGGATGTAGTATATGCCCCGCGTATTTAATCGACCGAAAAAAGTTTGGAAAAACTGATAATAAACACATTTTTAAAAATTTCTGTGAATTAATGGTGAATCATCAGTTAAAGATTAATTAATAACTAAACTATATTATTTTCAAGATGCAGAAAGGACAAATAAAGGGTTAACAAACATAATGTCTTTAAGATTATTAATTATTGAACCATTTACCATCCGTAATAAACCTTGATAAGTTATCCTATTTTGTTCCAGTAAACCACTTGAAGTTTGCAGGTATAAGGAAAGAAATGACTTCTGACAGGATATTCTAAAAACCTTTAGTTGCTCTTACATTATACTTATCAAAACTAGAAACAACCAGCCGGTATGTTAATGAACCCAGGCAGAGAGGCTTATTATTGTCCTTTAACACAGTTAACCTAGGTTCCGCAGTTGAAACCTCAACCCAGAACACATTAAAATATTAAATGATGAAATGTATGTTTTCATGCGTTCTTAACTCATTCATAAACAGTATAAATTAAGTTTTACACGATATTATCAGTTTGATCGTGTTTATTTTTTTTAATTCATTTTTAACTAAAGCATTTTACTTCAGAAGTTGTAGAGACATTAGGTTTATTCCGGAAGCAGGAGAGATATGGTCACTTTACTTAACCTGTTCCGCCAAACTGAGTTAATGGCACTACAGGGTTAGGAAGTTATCCTATTCATTGCTAGCAATCTGACGGTTAGGCCGCCTTTCTACATTTTACTTTAATCTGTAGTTTCTTGGATATAATTATTTTCATTCACTTGCTTCATTATCTCTAAGATGCCCTTGTTGCAGTAATAGTCCGTGAACAGTCTATTCACAGGATATGTGATGTAGTCGGAAGGAAAGAACTGCTGTCGAAGGTGCTCTGTCAGAGGGCAGGAGAGCAGGTAATGAAGTGCGTCCGCGTCTTCCCCGCGAAAACCGCAAGAACAGTTGACGTCCCGTCTGAGGAGGAAACGTCTGTAATACGCTGGGAATTTCCCGTGGTTGGTACAGGCTTGGAGGAAGAGTCGGTGTGCATTTTCATTTCATTTCGCCTCTTGAGAGAAGGTATTGGGAAGATGTTGTGTAAGTAAATCTTCCTGTCTCTTCTTCCTGCCATCGTGATGCCCATGTCTCTTGAAATGCTGTCTTGAGGAGCCTTTTTGCAACTTCTGCGGAAAGCGGAACTTCCTTGTCAATTTCTGGTTTGAGAGCTGCAGTCTTAGCTAGTTCATCCGCTCGTTCGTTGCCTTTCTGCCCGGTATGTCCTTTTATCCAGTTGATCTTTAAAGGTATGGAAGAGCCTAACGTCAAGAAGATCTCTCTAAGTGCTGCCGTGTGCGGATGTTTGGAGGAGGAAAGGAATTCAGCGCATTCAGAACGCTCATGCTATCTGTGAAGAATGAAGTGTGAGCTGCTGGTTGTGTACCTAACCATAGTGCTGCTTCTTTGAGTGCTAGGGACTCGGCTTGGAAGACTAAAGCATGATCGCTTAGACGGAATTGTGCTTGATAAATTTCTTCATTGTTTCGAAAAGACCGTGAACGCTGCCCCTACTCGTCCTGAAATTTTTGAAACCGTCAGAAAAAATCTCTCTTTGTTGTCCTGAGGGTGGCGATTTGCACCAGGAAAGGATGGGTAGATCTCCTGGGTGTAAGTTAGGGGAATCTTGGAAGCTTTCTATGCTGGCATATGATAGATGTAAATCTTTTTTAGTGTGAAGGTCCTCTTTGTAATGTAGAAGTCGATAGATTGATCTTTCTAATTCTGCTTTTAGGTCGAGTGGGAGCGTGCCAGCTAAGACCTGAAGTGCTGCGGTTGATGTGGTGCTATACGCACTGGTGATTTTTAACAGGATTACTCGCTGTATTTGATGTAGTTTTTGGCATATTCTTGCTGTGCCATTCATCCAGACTGGGCAGCCGTAGAGGATCATGCGTTCAATTGCATTAAGGTATAGATGTTTTAACAGGCGCCCCTTTTGGCTCCACTTGTCTGTGATTATCCTGTTTAGTTTATTGATGATTCGATGCGTCTTATCTCGGACTTCCGTAAGATGTGATACCCACGTGAGCTTCTTATCAAGCGTGAATCCGAGGTATTAATGGTATTCTGGCGTCGCAATGGATGCCCTTCCCACTTTATGCGTGGTGGATTCGCGTCTATTTTGAACTTTTTGGAAAGACTATCATCTGGTCTTTTCAATACTGAAACACAGTTTGTTGTCTTGGACTTCCATTTTGCAAGCAATTTGAGTGCTGCGTCTGCTTTACGCTCTAGTGTTGTCCTATTGCCTCCGTCTATTATGAGTATAATATCGTCGGCGTAAGCTTGTATCTTGGCATTGTCTCCAAAGTTGATGTTCAAGCGCTGAGTCCTGCAATTATGTTCCACAAGATGGGTTCCGATATTAGACCCCTGTGGGGCTCCTTTGTGGTAATTCATTCGTGATATTTAAGCCGTCTCTTTTGTAGGTCACTTGACGTTCTGTGAGGTAGCTTGCGATCAGTTGGTAAAGATTCTTTGGACATCGCAGGTCTTTTAGTTTTGTTTTGAGCGCTGGCCACCATAGTTTATTGAATGCGGAAGCTACGTCAAGCGATATTATACACGTATGGAGGTTATTTGTCTGTTATTTAAGATGATGTCTTGAACACAGTTGAGGGCGTCGGTGGTGCTCCGCCCTTTAGTAAACCCGAATTGGGCGGGGTTTAGTAGTTGTTTTTGACCAGGTAATACGTTAATCTCTGCGTAAGCATCTTGTCAAGGACCTTGCCCCACGCTGAGAGTAAGCAGATAGGTCTGTAAGAACTGGGCATGGACTTTGGTTTTCCCTCTTTCTGGAACAATACTAGCTCTGCGTTTTTCCATTCCTTTGGAAAATAACCTAATTCAAGGCACTTGTTAAAGAGTGCTAGAATTTGTTTGTCGTCCGCGAGCCTAAGCTCTTCAATGGTTTCAATCGTGAGGCCATCCAGCCAGGAGCTTTACCTCGGCGTGTTGAGTTTATCGTACGTTGCATTTCTTCGAGTGTGAACGGCTGATCGTCTTCCGAGTTTGGAATCTCGGTTGATTTGGGAACGGAATATCTGCATGGTATGTAGAGTCCTCGTTGGGGTCGTCTTTCTGGAAAATGGAACCTCATGATTTCTCTAATTGTATCCTCAATTGTGCTCGTCATTGTGCCATCTTCTTTTTGAACTGAACCTATCTGTAATGGATCCATGCTCTTCCCTTTAGCTAGATCGAAGTATGTTCCGAACGGGAGAGCTAACAGTGATTTTGTTCCATGTCATGTCCCATGTTTTTTTCTTTTCTTTATACATCTTTTGCCGGTACTTGTGCACGTACCCTCTTTGGTAAAGCAGCCTGTTATGGGTCCTTTCCTCTCCAGTTGTTTTTTGGAATCTTTTCCTTGTTGCTCTGACCTTTTTCCTGAGAATAGTGAGATCTTTTGTCCACCATGGACAGGTGCGCGACCTTGGTTTCGAGTTATGTGAGAGAACTGTTCTTTGATAGATCTCGTGAAGACTAGTGGTAACTTCTCTTACATATTTATCGATTTCTTCGATAGTTGTCAGATTTCTAGGGTCTGCTAAAGATTTGAGATATACCTTTTGAAACTTAGCCAGTCGGTATGTCGTACATTGATTTTCGATCTTCTCCATGTTGGGTAATGAATGCTGGAGACGTCAAAATAGATATTATTATGATCGCTATTGTTTGCTTCGTCCGTTACCTTCCAATTATCGATCCGGATTCTGTCTCTACTTATGATAAGTGTGAGGTCAATCCAGCTGTTACCACTTACTCCTGCGAAGGTTGCGTATCCCCTATTTCATTGACTATCGATAGTCCAGTGCTGGCAATGAATTCGCATACTTTGAGGCCTCGTGTGTCCGTATTATGTGAGCCCCATAGGGGACTTTTGGCATTGAAATCTCCGGTAATTATTGTAGTCATGTTGTTATTGTCCTGCATAAACCTTTCTAGGGTTGTCAGGATTGGTGCAATATCTCGCGATGGAGGACAGTATACCGTGATTGATTAGTATAAATCTTGAGTCACTGCCTATTGCAAGCGCTATAATCTCCGGAGAGCTTAAAAGTTCCAGAACTGGGAGATTTGAGTCCGCTATAATAACTGCAGTTATTGCGTCTGTTCGAGAGTAGAACTTCCTATATTTTGTGGGGAATCCGTACAGTTTGTTCTGTACTGTGTACGGTTCCTGGATACATGCTACTTTGAGTTTGTCGTTTTGTTCAAAATTTATCTTTAAGTTTTCTGTTGCACTCCTGGAGTGCTTAAGATTAATCTGGATTATTTGGATACTATCTATAATTTTTGTTCGTTGTTTTAATCTTTCGAGCTCTTTTAGGTAGCATGGGCATTTCTTATCTCGGCTATCATGTTGGGCATCGAGGCCTGTATTATATCGTTTATTCACCTTTTGTGCAGTTGACACAGCTGACTGCTTTTTGGTCACAGTTGGTCTTCTCGTGGTGTGTGGAGCCGCATCCGGCACAGACTTTATCTTTCTTTGCAATATTTTGCTGGGTGGTTATACCCAAGGCATTTGACACATTGCGAAACCTTTATAAACTCCCTTACGTTATATCTTGACCATTGTATGTTCAAACTTCTTCGTTTTCATAAGGATCTTGAAAGCTACTGGGTCTATAGATAGAACCCAGTGCTGTCCAAAGCGGGCCTTCATGGCGAACAGGGAATCTCTATTTCACTTTCTGCTAGGTCGGTGTTCTGTATTTTAATGAAGTTTACTATCTCGTCTTATTAATGTTCTCGTTGACATTGTAGACTATTATTCTGGGGTTTCTTTTTTGTGGATGTTTCGTCTCCACTACGTCCTTCAGCTTCCGATTTTCATTTATGGCCTCTTCAAGTATTGCCAGTTCTTCCTTTTTCGTAACTTCTACTAGGAGCCCTCCTTTGTTGATTCTCTTTATATTCTTGACGCCTACTTTGAGTTTTCCTGGATCTATGTACTTCACCAGCTTCTCCTTTACCTCGTCTGGATGTACTACCCTCAGTCTTAGGATAGACTAGTAATACATGCTCTGTCTCTTGCCGTGATCTTGATTGTGATCGTCTAGATCTAGAACTACTTCTGGATGGCCGTCGAGATCTTGCAACTTCTGCAAAAGACAGCTTTTGAGTGGCGACTATTCCTTGGATGTATGTCTCTATATTCTTAGTTTGTTCAATTTGTCCTTCCAAATTGGCATATTTTGTAACTCTGCTTCGAGACTATTCTTAACATATGGTCAAAGAAACCTCGTATCTTTTTGTTTGCTTTTGTGGAAATGTCGTCTCTATTTAAATATCCAATTAGATTAGTATAGCACTCTGAAGCCTCTTGATACTCTGTACTGGCATCTACCAAAGTTATATCAACGTCTAGCTGTCGTGTACTGCTCTGTTTCTGTGTCTTATCTATTATTGGAGCACTGGCCGACTGCGTCTCATTGTCGGGGCGTTGCCCCTTAGGCTCTTTATTTTTTGGACGAACCATCTCACTTTGTGTTTTAAATGGTTCCAAAATAATTTTTAAGCAGAAATTTGAATTATCTGACGGAAATTAAACAAATCGACCAACTGGCAGGAAGACTTCAAAATTCGGTGCACCAAGGATTTCGATATCACCTTCTCGACGGGCAGAAAGACTTCTTCGGATGGCGCACCAAATCCGTGGTGTCAACATATATCCGCCACACAAAGCCTAACGCTTACTCAGAATTACAAATGCATATAACATTTTTCATACATGTACCAAAATCACAATTTTCAAAAAATAGGTAGAGAAACAGATATAAAATCCTATTTTGTACTCAAAAGTTATTAGCACAGTATATAAAAGCCTTGAGAGACAATGCTTACTCAGGATATGCAAATGAGGGCGGCGGACAGCAACAATTTTAAAAGTCTTCCTATCCTCGGAGATTTCCCTTCTTCGCAGAGAAACACCACAAATATCGCAACCGGAACTAGTAATCCATGGAAGAATCACATTTTCACAAACACAAGTGGTATAATTACCAAGATTTTAGCACTTTTAACGGAGCACACAAAACCACAACCAATATGGCCGCTGACATGCGCAGATCCGAAGCAGGAGAGATGAAAAATGAGCAATTCCTTCGCCGGGAATCGAACCACGGACCTCTGGAATACGCGCCCAGCGTGCTGACCACTACACTACGAGGGCACGCTAAGAAGGCGGGAGAAATACTTTATAAAGGGAATGATTCTTTTATCCTAAAGAAAGTCGATCATAATATAGTAGTTTTCCTTTAATATAGTAGTTTTCATAAAGCTCAGCACTTTTTTATGCAGAAGGGTTAAATATTTTTATACTAATATGTAATTAGATTTATTCATAAGAAATGAGTAAAATGTATAACTTTCTTTTTTCGAGCGACATTCTTCCAATTTAATATTAATTTAAAATCATTTTACTTATTAATTATTATACATATCTAATTATTTTAAAATTCTTGCTGAATTTACTAATTAATAAAACTGAGTCTGTACTTTCATCACAGAAAGATGAAATGAAAAAAAAATCTGGCTACTTTGCATTTGTGCTATTCTAAAATCACGAAATTGAAAATAAAAAGAAACTTAATCTTTTCAATTTCAAAACGGATTAAAGATATTTATAAAGTTTTAAGTTCATATTAAAAGCAGATAATTACCATTTGGATGATTGTCAAATACTTTTTCCACCACAAATATTTACGCATTCCAGGTCCTAATGCAGCTAAACAGTAATAGGAATACATAATGGTATGGACGAAGCAGTTTATGAAAGGAAAAAATGCATTACTTCCTCCTAAAAGAAAATACAAGAACTATTAATACAAATCTGCAAAGAAATAAATTAATATTAAATTATAATTCTGATAGCAAATATCTGTGTTGCTTTTTTCCAAGAACATCTTCCAGTTATATAAAGTTTACGTCCCGAATAATTTGAGACAAATAAGCTGCGAATTTTGATTGCAGGATGCTGGCATAGAAGAGATTTCCATATTCACATCTTTTTGTTATGTAGACGAAAATTTAAATTTTCATACTTTTATATAGCTTATAAATCATATCTGAAAGTGAAAAATAAATCTTTCAGAATAATATCTCAAAATATTTAGTATTTAAAAACAATTACACTTCCTCAAAATTCAAATGAGCATAGTTTTCTGTGAAAATGATTATGATCACTTTAGACATTTCATTTTTCAAACATTCGAAGAAATGCTTTAAAATTTCAGAGATGACCTTCTACAGGAGATGGTAGTCATGCAAAGTTAAATTCTGTTTATTACTAGTGGAAGTATCCGATGCCAGTTTAGTTACATTGAGAGTTATGTATCTGACAACAGAAAGAACGATAGCACTGTAATACTTCTCTAATAACGATGCAAAAAATACGATTCATAGTTACACATTTTGCAGTCTGATGCGATATGGAACCCACGTAAAAAATTTCGATTACAAATCTTTGATTAACAAACTCTACGATTTGAAAGCGATCAGTAGCAACTCTTTCCGAAATAAAGCATTTTTATCTCCAGCGCGCGACACTGTTGCCATTCGGAAAAATGAATGCGAAAATTAGCTCTTTCGGAGTTTTTAATTAATAATTCGGCTGATTAAAGTCATATGAAGATGGGAATAGTCGGAATAGCTTCTCATGGATTTTTGAAATCAGGAATAATGTAGCTAATGTTTGGCAATGCTATTTTTATTTCATCATGAAACTTAGAAATTTTTTATTAACAAACTCTACGATTTGAAAGCGAGCATTGGCAACAACTTTTGAAATTAAGCAGATTTTTCATCTCCAGCTTGTGAGAACTTTTGCCAGTCGAAACATGAGGGCTAAAATTGTCTTTTTTCTGTGTTTAATTAATATCTTTGATTTTAGCTACTTTTATTTTTTTGGAAAAAAGGTGGACGTCGACCTAGAAAAGAATTGTAGAAAGTTTGGTGACGATAGCTATAGTAGTGACTGAATTATTAGCGAATAAATACACACACACAGACTTTCCTCTTTATATATATATATATATTATCTGAAAGTTACATTATCTGTGTTTGTTGTTATCTGAAGACTTGAGTTTTACATAGGCAAGTTAATTTGCAACGAATTGAACTTACTCACAGGGGAAAAACATATAAAGAGATTTAGAAAAGAATCAGCTTCACTTTTCATTTCATTTCTTTATCTTACTTCAGGAAACAGTTGTTAAAACGACTAATTTATTATCTTTCTAAGCGTAACGTTTCGTTTTTCTTCCTTAGGTGCTATTCGTGTTGAATCGTGACTATTCGTCTCAAAAAATGTGCGACTCGGCGTAGCGGTTTGTCTTTTTTATAAGTATGATGATGAGGATTGTTTATAAATGATTGCATTTTAAATTTCAATATTTAGTGAAAGAAATGCTCAAAGAAAGTTTCCTAGAACACTTGAAACTTTGATTATTTGCATGTTCGATCAAGATGCATTTGCCTACCAAATTTCGTTACGATCGCAAAAATCCTTCTTGGTGTTTCGATTTTTTTGCAAAAGAGTGTATATATATTAAGGAATAAGGAGTAATATCAATTCAATTAACTCTACGGAATTCTAATTAATTCGTATTCAATTAACTCTACGGAAAGGCAGTTTGACAACTGTTTTAGGAAATTGTATCTTGGCGTAGCACTTTATAAAATAATCAGAAGACAAAAATCAGACACTTCCAAACAATTTTGGATTCCAGTTTTTGAAAATGATAAGCATCAGCTTTAGAAAAATATAACAAAAATTTACATTTCTACCTAAGATAATATGTGTTAATACCAGAGTACGTTTTTCTTATTTATTATTATAATGTGGTTATTGATTACTATTAAACGCACAAAAGAGTGAACTTGAAAATATACTTACTAACTGCAGCATATGGTGTTGCTACAGATTGAAATCGTTTAGTAAAGCGTCAGTTTATAAACCTACGTTAATTTGCACTACCAGCACCACATTTGGAGTTCCCGAAATCACATGAACGTAAGAGTCTTTTGAATATCTTAGGTGTGGTCATATTCTAAGTTATTAAACTGATGAATAGTTACATATGTATTATTTTGTTTTATCTCTGTAAGTTGTTTAATTAGCGTCTTTAATAAAATCACTAAAAATTCTCTAGGTAAATTAAAAATTCTATTTATTCCGGCAATTCTATTTATTCAAATTCTATTTATTCTATTTATTTTAATCGTAGCGTGCTAATTGCTTGCTTGAGATTATACAGCCAATTTTTTCTTCTGTTTTCTTCAAATTTTTTCTCCCGTTTACATTAATTTTTCTAGGCGACGGTTTTCGGAGGAGGATAATGATAACGCTGGCCATTTCATTGGCTACTTATATTTTTGTAATTTCTTTTCCAGATGCGAAATGAAGGCAAGAAAGGAAATTATTAGTTATTCATCGATGCTCAAAATTAGATCTCCGTCTGGGTGTTAGAATTCAAAAGTTTAAAATATTATTTTAAGTGGAACATGCAAAATCTAGTCAGGAAATTATTATAAAGCATTCTCACCTGCTCCGAATTTCATGCCAATCCAGACACCCCAAGCTACAAGGGAATGGTGAATAACATGTAAAGCAGAGATATGGGTAAACTTTTTCCTGAGAACGAAGAATATCTGAAAAGAAACGAATAAATTAGACTTTCGCTTTTAAAGTTTCGAACACTCATGCTATCAGATGAAGATTATCTCCATCTCATATATCGAATTTAATATAAATTCGATAACAAAAATTTATGCTATTACTATACGATAAAAGTTAGTACCGCGTGAACAAACGAGAAGCTCTTGGACTATTCATATAATACATTTTTTTTCAAATGGAGAGCATTTGCCTATAACGGCATTAACCACTACTAAGGCCAGAAGTGGTGGCCATTTTATTGTGCAGGCACCTAATAAATAGCCACCGCTACCATCCTATGAAGAGATACACAATTTTACATCCATCCCTTCTCCTAGATTCCAACCTGGGCCCTTCGACATCGCAGTAAGGCTCCCCCCGGCTTCGTATAATACATGATTCTATAAACGATAGCCTATAATACAAATTTTGCGAACATGGAAAGTGTTTATGGATATATTTTTCATTGTTCTTACAGTAAACGTTCTTACAGTTTTAGTATTACTATATTGCATCTTCTCCGTCAAATATACTCAATGGAAAGAAAAACGCATTGAAAGAGGAGGAAAATTTAGGTCTTTCCATATCCTGTTGCTAATTTGAACTGAACCGCGTCGCCGTTCGCATTTCCGTATACAAGTTCCTATGTAAATTAAATCTTTTTTGTAATGATACGACAGACCAGCATGTTAAAGTGTTAATATTTACTTAGCGATTTAAATTACTTAAACGAGAATTTGCAAGAAAACAAGCAATTGCATTGACTTCAAGTGGTAATTATTTCAGTAATATTATCAGGTATGATTGGTGTACAACTCTTTCGCTGACTCTGTCCCTAGAATGCAGCATTGACCTCCCTTTCAGATAAGAAGATAGAGAAGAAAGAAAGAAATGTACTCACAGATTTTCATTGACGGCGAACACTTTAGCTAAACTACTCAGAAGTAGCAATAGAAGTGAACATATTTTTAAACATTTTAACGATCTGCTTGCTCGAGATGAGTTTTTTTTTTTAAGTGTAATGAACATAAAAGACAACAAATGCACAAATGCGCGAAATTTCGTTCATCTGAAAAAAGGGTGTATGTATGCTTGTCTTCGATTACATCAGTAAATGCAATTTTATGCAAGAAACGATTCAAAATTAATTCAAATGTTTCGTTGATATTCAATAAATCATATATATAATATTATAATAATAAATAAATCATATATGCATAAAAATATTGAAGAACTTAAACAGCATATATATATAATATGCTGTTTAAATTCTTCAATATTTTAAAAAATTTTCTCTTTTAAAATTGTTAAAAAATTAAATTTAAAATTATTTAAATTATTAAAAGTCTCACACTACCGGACAGGTCAGGCCGAAAACGGAGCTGCGTCACCTTATGCAGAAATTCGATGACAAGAAAGGAGATATCAGTCTATATTTGCTATTGTTTGAAAGATAAGCAGAATGGGCTCAAATTGATAAAGCAAAGGTTGTATCTCATTTAGACTATTTCCTTACGAAGTATTATTATTAACAATAATTAATACCTTATTAACACAATTAATAGCTAGAGAACACTCCGATAAAGATTAAGATTATGAACTCATGAAGAATTTATTGTTAAGACGGTTTAAACTAAGCCAGGAAAAGTTTAGGTAGAAATTCATAAAATATAAAAAGAATGCCGAATTCATACGGGTGGATTTCAGCTATGAAATAGAAAATTATTGCAAAGAATGGGTGACCAACCTTGGAGTTGAGAATTTTCGTCAGCTGCTAGACTTGATGGTGATCGACGAACTTAAACGTCGAGTCCTTCCTGAAATTCATGTTAACTTTCTTGACGAGTGGGTAGAGATGATTTCATCCAAGAAATTAGCTGAAAAACTTCATGCATATCATAACGTTCGCGGAAACTTTCAATAAAGGTCTATAGTGGATCGGTAGATAGAAAAATACAATGCACAAACTCAAATTTAAATGAGTTCAGACAATAAAAATAAAACTGAAAATAAATGTTCATCAGGATTTAATTAGCAAAGTTCGTTCCATCGACCTAGATCCACGTTTGGATGATAAATACGAAAAATAAAAGACTCCACAATGTTATCAATGCGAATTCTATCACTATTTAAGACCTCAATGCCCAAAACTTCAGAATAGTACTGAATCTCCTACTATCCTTAACAAAATTAGTGCAAAACCATATTTATAAATAATTCCTGTTGCCTTATACTAGTATGGGATACTTAAACGGTTATAAAATTCCTATATTAAAGGATTCAGGTGCTAGTATTGATATAGTTTGTCACAACTACATCACGCCTGAACTGCTGACAGGCGAAAATTTGTGAGGGCAACAGCCATTAGATTTAATCCAAACTGTTCACCATTGGCTGAGGTCGAACTAAATTGTGATCTTGGGCGAGCAATAACCAAGGCTGCCATTAGCAAAACACAAATATCCTTCGGATATTCTAACCTAACATTTTGTTAATTATTTGAAGTACCTACTACCTTACTGATCCAACTTTTTTTCACACTGCTGGTTTTATTTTCCTTCATTTCATCTTTTTTCGCCGACTGATGGCGGCTAAGTGAAATATCCCATTCTACCATCTTGATTCTTCATATTTTCCTTTTGTTGTTCCAGACATTCTTTTATCTGATGCAGAGTAAAAGCGCGCTGTCACTCTCTTTCTATTCGACACAAGCATTATTAGAAATGAACTTGACAACTTTTGCGCTGTTGAATGAGCAAAGTAAGGAATCTGATATTCGCCATTACTAGATCAATGCCGTCTCTACTAGAGCTCAAAGGAAAGAAGAATAACTGAACACGATGACGAGAAAATCTTGGAACCGATGAACGAAGAAAACGAACCACCCAGAGATGCCTTTTAAGAAGAAAGTTAAATTACCGGAATTAAATACGGAAGATGAAGCTGTCATGAAAATTAGTAAATATTGACTCAAAAGTTGCACGACTTCACCATACTGATAAGGAACTATCTAAAATCATCCAAGAAGTTAAGAAAGGCACATGCAAAAATGAGAACTATAGTCTGGGCAGGAAAAGACCTTTTAGTTAAAACGAAGACAAATAAAACGGATTTTTAGACATATTTTAATTATACCTGAAACCCTCAACTCGTCGATTATAAAGATATGGCCCGAAGGAACTTTTGGTCATTCGGGTGTCAAAAAGACCAAAGACAGGCAGGACAGACATTTTTATTGGACGAGGAGTTACGAAGAAACCGAAGATTTTGTAATAAACCTGTGATGCTTGTCAGCACGCTTCTTTTTGTCATTTCCTTTTCAATGGGAAAGGAAAAGACAAAAAGAAGGCTAAAATGACGTTAGTATTATTCATTTCCGAAATATTCACTAAATTAAATGTTGCTGCTGTTGATCCGCTACCTACTTCAAGGACTAGAAAAAAAATATAGAGCACTGTGTATGTTGTCCAAATATCCAGATGCTGTTACGGAGACAAACATTTCTTTACCTTCTCTTAAAGTAAATAAGAAAGCTGAGTTAATAAGCTTTCGAATTTTACAGAATTTTTCCCTACCTCCGCTGGGGAAGAGGTTGCAACAGCTTTAAATATGATTAGTAAAATCTTATGCAATTGAAATGGATGAATAATAATGTATATGCTACTGGCAATGTATGAAACGCAGGCCCGAGAGCCGCATGCAGTTTTCTCACGAAGAAAGTAATTAATTTATGCTTAAACTGTTAAAATACGTTTTCTGTTTTTGTTTGCATGTTGCCATTTTGAGTTTATCTTTCGTCTTGTAAAGTTAGTGTTAAATAAAGTCAGTGTAGTGTTCCATCAATGGAGCTTGCTTCAACTGTGAAACAAGTATCACAGTATATACAGACGTACAGTACATACGTCTCTATAAAATAGAAAAATAGGAAAACATAGTCCTTTATTCTGGCCGTACGTACAGATATCACGCAAAAAAAAATCATCTAAATGGGTTTGAGAGCAGTCAAAATGGATATTTTTATTGAAACATGATATCCGAAATTTTCTGCGATTTCAATACTTCCTTTATTTCTTAAACGGAAGTAAAAATGAACGGGAAACTTTTGACTCTGTATATCCAAGTTTTAAGCTACAATATGCAACTATCTGTGAAAACGATCACGAAAAGATGCTTATTTTGCTTTCCAAATTCTGCAGCCAAATCTTGAAACAATAATCTCCAATTCATTCCTTTTATCAATATGCTTATTTAATATTATTATGTCGATTTATTTACTCTGAAACGCTCGTTTATGTACGCTCATTTACGTACGATTGAAACGTATTATATACACGTTCGTTTCGTCATTTCAAGTTCCTGATAAGAAATCTCAAAGGATTGCTTAATGCATTTCTTCATCATCTGATCAAATACAAATTAAATGCTGCAAAGAAATTGTATATTCAAAATTGAGCTTTTCATAGATTTAGATAGTTAACGCATTTTTGAGCATGGTTGCAACAAAGTTAAAACGTGTTTTTCAAAACAAAGTATTTATGCTATATGCTTATGTTTCATAACTCCTACTACGTATTTTCAAAAATTCTAAACCGAGGAAGAGTCCTACAAAAGAACTTTAAAGACACCTTTCGACGCAGGTAAGTATCAAATCAATATCTTTTAACCAAAAAAATACTTTTTATGAATTTACTTCGAAATTAACAGAAAATTGAAATATCAGTAAAGATTTTAATTTTCATAAAAGTATTTTAAAAGATCAAAAAAGCTTACATAAATAAATTTACACATAGGAACGTTCAAACATACCTTATGTTTCTAATATTAACCTAAAATCAGCCGCTCAACCGTCATAGTGGTTAGCGTGGCTGACCGCCGTGGCGAAGGACCCAGGTTCGGGTCTCGGAGAAAGGTATGGATATTTGTAAATGTATAGTGTTTGTGCGGTACTCTAAATATGCGGCAAGCGAAAAGTTCTCTCGTGTTGTTTGGTGGAATGGGAGAGGGGTTGGAGACCCTCGGACCCGTTCCCCCGCGGTGCTCTCCATCAAAATTGGGGAGGAACTGAGCTAAATCGCACTGTCACCTGTAAGGTGTTCAAGGCTGTTGCCAACAACAGGCGTATCTTGCGCTCCTTGCCACAAGGAATTTTGTGGGTTTGGGCTTATGTTACTCTCATACAAATGAGCATAAGTAACTACAACAACAACGTAAAATAACCGAAAGTTTGGCGTAAAATTGGCTAAAAAATTAGGTTGGTCTTTAATTTCACAAAATTTTCATATTTTAAATATTTCCAATAATTTTTCTTAGTGTACTTGTCACTAAGCTTGTCGAAGCACGAAACATATGAAATGTGTAATACCTTCTCCGTGAACCGAACTCTATCTCCCAACCTCTAATCAGAACTACTGCTAACCGAAGATAATGTCTTAGCCGAGGTTCAAACTCCGTAACTTCCGACAGATAGCTGGACGTGCTTCCAATTATACCCTTTGCGTTTAAAACTACTGCTAAGCAAAAGCTAAATTTGCCTACTACTAACAAAAACTTGATGCTCATGAATCAATAATTAGAGCTGTATGCTAATTGATATTAATGCAACGCTTATCCATTTACCTTTGAATACCTGTTAAATGTTAAGTTATTCAACTTCTTAATCTTAAAATTATTACATTTACATGACATTCATTGGAAATATAAAACTTTATTTTACCGTATCAGCAAATTCTGCAATCTTGAGCATCAGATACCACCAACCAAGAGATATCATCTGAAAAATAATAATAAATTTGTAAATACATGATAAATGTGAGAAAGTACTCTTTAATATCGAACATCAAATTGTAATATGATTTTTTTTATTACACAGACTTCAAATAACTAACATTACAGTTACTTTTACCTTATTTTAAATTTAGATATTATGCTTTTCACTGTTTCTGAGCAATTCTCTTTATTATGGGTTTTTTTACAAAAAATTATAACTTATATGTCTAAACAATTTCACATATTGATAGTTACTTTATAATAAAATTTTATTCGATATTCTTCAGATCCTTCTGAAAGTTCTAGTATATTCATTTTTAAATCCCAATAGTAGTTATTAATTAACTATTTTTTAAATAAATAAACCTGGAATTCTGGAATTCATTTACTTTGCCTATGTACCCATATGAAAATGTTCTGTTAACTCGTTACTTTCAGAGAAACAATAATTTTAGTATCTGGATTAGTCTGTTCCCCTTACAACATATAATTTCAGTATAATTCTTCTCTTTATCCCTCCTATTCTCCTCCCATTAAAAGGAAAAAAAATCTGATATGCGGACTACATGACTTCCTGGTACGGCTTTTTATATTATACACATTTTTTTCTGCACTTCATTTAAGCTTTGTTCCTCGAATTTCATTAGAGACACGCGAATTAATTGAATTCAATTTTCACTTCTCGGCAAGGCAAAAATACATAAATCTCAAAACATCTTCATTAATAACTGCAAAATGCAGAAAAACATAAAACACCAAATGCAGTTAAAACAGTTAATAAAAAAACAATTATTACAATTAAAAATAGAGGTTCTATGCAAAAGCAAGCAATTCGGCCAGAGAACAAGAGGGCAGATTTTTTGGTGCACAAAACTAAAAGTTTAATTTTGCTCCTCGGCAAAAAGACACGTCAGGTGCAAAAACTGAAATCAATGTTCTACCAAGAGTTTTCAAGTTTAAACAAATGGCTATTCTCTTAGGCTTAGTGGCGCTTAAACAACTTTTAAATTCTTGATAATTCAGCAACTAATGCATGCAGATTAACTAAAGGGATAAAAACCTTAACCGGCACAAAAGAACAACATAGTTCGATCACTTTTAAAGCAAAACATTGCACAATTTACCAATATATAAGACTAAAAATTGAGCTCATCGAGGTGTGTAACAAAGTGGGTGCATATATGTATTTGTATAATTTTGGTGCAGCGGATCGGAACCAAAAAGTGAGGTGCACAACTATTTGTTATAGCAGTCCCAAATAAAAAATTTCAAATTTCTGACGCTACTCATTTTTGAATTATACGAGATACATACATACGTACGTACAAACGTACAAGACGTCACGAAAAAAAATCTTTTCTGAATCCATTTTTCAATCCGTTTGGAGAAAAAGAGTCTTTTATTCTGTCCATACGTACAGATATCACACAGAAACTTCGTTTAAATATATTCGAGAGCGGTCGAAATGGATGTGTTCTTTGAAATATGATACCTGAAATTTTTCGCGATTACATTTTTTTTTACTTCAGACGAGGAAGTAAAAATAATGTAAATTATAGTTAAAGAAGTAGAACTATTAGTTTTAATTCATCATAGAGATGCCATAAATATTATTTCTTATAATTCATAATCCTGAGTAAATTTCGTTTTACTTTTTTTTCCATGAAGAAGTCAGTAACACTGATAGACAATCATTTCCGTTACAAAGCAGAATTATTTTTCAGTTTATTTTTGCTGAGTTTGTATATACTGTAAATAAAACTTTATTCATCAGGTTTTCTTTGGTGCTGCAGAACTTCCAGTAATGAACTTATGTCATTGCAACTAACAAAATATACTTTCTGAAAATAACTTTTTTAAAAATTAACCGTTTCACCTTCTTACGAAAATAACACATATTTGTATCCTTTTTAAAGAAATTCCATACCTTTAATCTTGAAACGATATCTCAGCCTGAGTTTTTTTGAGAAATTTAAAAGATCACTGAAGCCAGACCGAGAGATATCGTATGAAGAGGTCGAGAGAAAAAAAATATTTTGTCGTTAATAGAGAACAATAGCATGATGAAAAGTTCTGTCATAAAAAAGGGAATCAGTAGAAAAATTGACTTCATAACTGAAATCAACAGCATAAAATAAGCAAGATGTCACTAAAACTGGTTTTTGCAGCACAGGTATTGTTGGTTAGAGTAATATATTTTTAAATATAATCTTGAATTACATCATGAACAATGAGTTGGCTTGAATGGCATTCATGCTAAGAATCAATAAAATTTACTAATTTTACTGTTGTTGTTAAAATTACAATTGAATGTATAAAAATTAAGAATTGGAGTTATAAATGTCTGATAGAAGGCGGTTCTTACGTAGGTGGCCTAATTAAATTTAGAAGGTTACCCTACAATTTACTTAAACTAAAGCAACCTTTCCTTAAAGCCTTTAAAACGAATTTTCGTATCGGCTTATATTTATAAATTCAAAATGCTAAAATTAAGACAAGAATAGCATAAAAAGGAAGAACTGAAATTTATTATTAATTTCAGTAGTAAAGTAAAAACAAACTTAATACAAATTTGTCATGAGAAATATTATCTCATGACTTCTAAGATTAAAATTAAACTCTTTTATGCCTTTATTCTTCAGTTCATTTAATTTGCAGACCATTACCTGCTTACCTACCGAATACTGAGTAAGACTGAATTATTTGGGTTACCGAATACTGAGTAAGACTGAATTATTTGGGTTTTAAAGGATGTCTACCTGCTTAAGGGAAAGAGTGCTTTCGCCGAGGACTTTCTGAGAGAAATTGGCTAATACTCAAGCTGCGCGTGGTGAAAATACGAAAATTCCCAAGTGGATAGCCTGTTCGCCGGGAATTAAAACCTGAGCAAGAAAAATTGCTGAAAATTCTTAATTACTTCCTGGTTTCGATTCCTGGGTTCAACAGCAGTAAAAGAATACATTGATGAAAGCGCTCTAATACATCGATGTTTCTTCTCTCATGAAGCCAGTTTTTCATGAAAAATGGAACGTTTCCATGTATTTCTCTTGTGGAAGTTCAAACTTTGAAAGCAAACTAAATATCAGTTTTCAAATTTTGTGGCAGCATATGGAAAGAAGAAAGAAATTTTACTTTCGTTTGTTTACTGCATAAAAAGAGTGTTCGAAAAAGGTCTCTTCACAGTTACTTCCTCAAATAGTGACTCTGGTTGTATGCAACCAGTTATAAAGCATCTATAAACGTATAAAATGTTATGACAACATCTTCGGCATAGAAATTTAGTAGGCATAGCATCTTCGGCATAGCATTAAGTACCAAAATATAATATTTTATACAGTATTTGTTGAGTAAAGTATTCGATATATTAAATAAAAAGTTCCATACTTTTCCAGGAAAATTTGAAAAATTAACATACTTTTTTTAACCACTTACTCACTTAAATTATGGTGCTAATTCAGAACACAGAGATCGAAGAATTCATAAGTAATGAAAAGAGCCCCTTCACTTTTTTAAGAACTGCAAGCAGAAAAAAACTGTGCAAAATCTGTTATTTTCCAAGCTTGGAACACGGCCATGAGAGCTAGAGTTCTAAGAAAACACACACAAACATGTTTTCTCAGAATTCTATAAGTTTCGTTTTGAGTTAAGCAGCCAGAAATGTAGGCCTTTTGATCAAATGCTATCCTGTGGGATGTCATAATCGGGAACTGAAGTGTTCCTGATTATTTCCGTTTTCAGGTTTTACTATAGCCCCTTACTGTTCCTACTTACACATTTAGACCTTTCAGTAATTACACGAGGAGCATATCTCGAACTCTTCTTATCTCAGGATGTTTTCTATGTCCGATGTATGTCAGGTAATAACAGTGTGTTATCTATACAGGTTTCTATAAAAATGCATAATTTTCAGCGGGAGATAAGTGTAGCCCTTTTATAATTAAAAGCGAAATTAAAGTAAGTTAGGTTAAATGCTATAGTTTATAATAAGAATTTTGAACATATTATTCAGCATATTTGGAATTTGCATTAAATGTATCGAATTCCCACAAAAACATTTTTATGCTACTTAGCATTTAGTATCTAAATACTAGTGCCACAAAAAGGATATACATAATCATTCGGATTATATTACATATAACAGAGTTAAAAATTACTTAAGCAAAATGTAAGGTTAAGCTACCTATTATTTTAAAAAGAAGTTCTTCGAGTACATTATAGAAATTCTCAAACAGAGTGTTTAACAACAAGGAATTTATTTGACAGTTTCGATATGCTTTTAATTTAAACTTGCGTACAGAGATCTAAAAGATTGAATCTTACTTCAGAAAAATCGAGAGAAACTTTAACCTTTTAGAAATGTTTTATGACCATAATTTATAGAAATGAAATAAGAAGTATACATTCTGTTTATAAAACTTACATTTCTCTCTAAGAACATTTGTAATAATAATTTTTCATTAATTTAAGAGTACTAAACTTTGATTTCAGTTTAACATTTAACATACAGTGAATTAAAATTTAAAGGAAATTCTATAAACTGTAACGAAAATTATCCGAGCTAAAGGAATTATGCTAATTTTTCTAGGCTATTTGATACATGGGAAGCTACTAAAGCTAGTAAAAATGCTTGAACATGAGTTCTTGGGCTTTTTAAAGAAACAAACTGAATCTTAATTTGGCATGCGACATCGCATGCTAAAATTTGGTATGTATGAATTTAATTTTGCATGGCATTGATTTTTGGCATGTGATATTCTGTATCTCGACTCTCAGACAGGCATCCTGGAAATATTAGTAGAGTTAATACTCGTTATGACGATCATTCCGTTACAATGAATGGTACAATATGCTTTTTATATGGTTCTTTTTATTTACTTTAATGTGAGGGATTTTACTTGCAACTTATTTTCAAGTCTTGAGCTGACTGAGAAGTAATAACCCAAGAAGCACATGACGTAGCAAAGACGTTACCACCACCATTTTGCAACCTCTCGGAACAGTCTG